CTTCCTTCTTCTTCTTCTTCTTCTTCCTTCTTCTTCTTCTTCTTCTTCTTCTTCTTCTTCTTCTTCTTCTTCTTCTTCTTCTTCTTCTTCTTTCTTCTTCTTCTTTCTTCTTCTTCTTTCTTCTTCTTTCTTCTTCTTCTTCTTTTTGGTACTGAGTTCTGAACTAGGGTGGTGAGTCATTGTGAGTTCGAGACCAGCCTGGGCTTCACACTAACTTGTATCAACAGTCCTGGTTTTGTTTTTTGTTTTGCTAAGTTTTTAAGTTGGCACATACCCAGCCTGGGCTGGAACTTGGATCCTCCTGCTTGGGCCTCCCAGGGTGCTGTGCTGACAGCGAGCACCGCCATCTCGGACGGCTGTACTGTTGTGCTTCCACAGGAGGTGTAGGCGCCCCAGTTTGGTCCTTCCCACGGTGGGTGTCGGCAGTGTGTTCAGTTCTAATGATTCTGGGGGTTGAGGAATGGTGTCCTGCTGGGCCCAGCTCCCACGCATGCTGCTTGTTCTCATCTGCTTTGGGTCGGGTCACCTAGGCGTGTTGTCCTTTCTTCCTGTACTGCCTTTTTGTTGTTGTTTTGTGTTGTTTTTTTGAGACAGCTGACCTGGCCTTGAGCTCACTGACCCCAGGCTGGTCTTGAACACACAACGATGCTCCTGCCTCAGCCTCCTGAGTGTTGGGACTACAGGTGTGCGCCAGCCACCTCGCCCAGCTTGGAGTACCTTTTAGTGATTGGTTTCTAGCCGTGTTCCCTGGTCCGGCTGCAAGGCCTCGTCAGGGCTGTGTCTGCTGTGCCTGTCATTTTCCACCTGGGCTACATAGTGAGTAGAAGGCAGAGAAAGCTACAGAATGAGACCCTGTCTCAAAAAAGAGAAAGAGAGAAAGAAAGAAAGAGAAAGAGCCAGCCCTCACACACACACACACCCCGCCCCCCTGCATGCTGAGAGGCCACTAAGACTGGGTGTGGTGGCGTGCACCTGTAATCCCAGGGCTTGGGAGGCTGAAAATGGGGGGTGGGGGTCACTATGAGTCCAATCTGTGTAGCGAGACCTTATAGACCCTGTCCTAAACACATAAAAAAAGAAAGGAAAAAAAAAACCCTGAAAATATTCACCTGTCTGTTTTAAATAGTTTTTGTGTCTTTGTTGATAGTTATTTACCGTGTGTGAGTGGGCTGTTGATCTGTATGTCTAGCTGCTTGCGCAGATCTGTAATGAATCTAGACATCAGGTGGTACTAGCCAAGAGCTTTGTTGTAAAACTATTTTAGGTGATACAGCGTGTTACATGTCCATGGATATTCAGAAGCCGCCTGCCAATTACTATAAAATCCTACTTCATTGAATTTATAGATCGGTTTAGGGGAACTGATAGAATCATGATCAAATCTGCAAACATGCATCTGTTTAACTCTTATTTCACCTTTATAATTATTTATACAAGCCTTTCACGATTTTTAGAAGTCTGTTTACCCGCCTGTGCTTGCAGTGCCCAGCGCTCCCGTTCCCTGTGTGGAGGGGGGTGGGGTGGGGCGCACACGACACGGCCCCCTTCCTCTCTGCACCCTGCCCCCTCCCCCGTCTCTCCATCGCTTTTCCATTGGAGAGAGATGTGCCTCTCTGTCTCCTTTTACCTATCTTTCATTTTGCTCATTACTTATGGCTTGGGTCTCTCTCAGAGAAACCATGCGATTTTTTTTTTTTTTTTTTTCAAAACCCATGATTGAACTCAGACCCTTGCGCTTGCCAGGGAAGCGCTTATTCTACTGAGCCATCTCCCCGGCCAAAACCATGTGATTTTTAAGCTGTGCATCTGATTTATTTCATGTAACATTGTGGTTTCAAGTGCATCCATTTAAAATTATTTTTAAGTATGATTATTTTGAATCTACATTTTTTTAAACTTTTATTTTATATATATATATATATATATATATATTTTTTTTTTTTTTTCCATTTATGCATTTGGTACAGAGTCTCACTACGCAGCTTGGACTTGTAGTAGTCCTCTTGTTTTCATCCTCCCCAGCGCAGGGATTACAGGTGTGAGCCACCATACCTGGACTGGGTCACCGGCTCAGCATGCCCTGGGGGTGGGGCCAACAAGGCGTGCAGGACCAGGGATCAAACCCTGGTCCCTGAGCTTGCCACAGCAGGTGCTTAGTCCGCTGAGCTATCTTGCCAGCCCTTCTACAGTGTCTTTATTAACAGAGTCCGACTCGGCATTAGTTCTTGTAGCTTTGGCTCACCCTTTGCCTCTGGCGTGCTCAAACATCCGGGCCTCGGAGGCGACGTGGGGCTTGGTGTGGCTGTGCGGGTTCCCCCGCCTTGAGGAAACGCTAGCACGCCTCTTGGTCCTTGCATGGACCAGAGGCCAGGGCCGGGCCCGGCCCTTGGGGAGCCCAGCGCCGGCGGCCAAGGCTGAGGATCTCATCTCCAGCCTTGAGGATGTGGCGGTGGCCTGACTACTCGTGCGCAGGGCACAGCCTCCAGCCTGGGCACCTCCAGAACGTCATCTGGGACGTCCCTGTGACCGCTGCTGCACTATTTTCCTGGCCAGGAAGCTTCATCTTCTGGATCCGCCAGGAAAGGGAGAGAGGTGGCCGGTTGGTGCGGCTCGTGAGCAGCCTCTCAGCACAGCCTGGCTGAAGGTGGAGTGTGTTCATCGGGCCAGAAACTCGGGCAGCTTGACCTACAGCCGCAGGGACATGTCCCGGCCCCTGGGCTCCTTCGCTGGGGCTTTCGGGCCTTGTCGTGATGCATGTCAACTCCCGCGATGGCGACTCCTCTTTAGTCAAACCTGGAAAGAGAGAGCCTGAGCATTGTTTTTGATACGGTTATAGACTTAATTTTTTTTCACTTTCCAGCTGATGCTGGGATCTAACGGTGCGCCTGGCTTTTGTTGTTCACGCTGCATCTCACAATCTGCAGATTTGCTTGCTATCTCCGATTGCATCAGGGCTTCAGTCTCCTTTGTGTTATTATTTCTAATGCAACAAACTAACTGGAGCTCTCTCTTTTAGACTTGAGACTTTCTAAGGATGCTGCCCCTGCACTCATGAACGTGGGAGGACCTGGGCTCCATGCCCTTGACTGTTGCTGTCCCTGAGGAGCCTCTGGACTCTGTTCCCGTCAGCCCCACACACACCCAGCGGGGCTTCCCTGGGAGGGCGGCATCCGCACACAGCCGGTCCCAGGGCCAAGGAGGCTGTGTCCTACCTGGCAGGACTGCATCGTGGCCCTGTAGCGTCCCCTGCATGCTGTGAAGTCCACATAGCCTTGGCGCTCTCCCAGAAGTCCATCGCCCAGTGTCCGTAAGT